AATCCAGCTGCGGCATTTGAACCCACTGGAGTTTCTGAACACTTTCTGAAGGCAGGGTCGCATAAAGTGTGTTACAGTAATCCAATTGAGATGTAAGTAAGACATGTTCACCTTGAACAGATCAGACCTCCAAGTGAGGGTGGTGAAACTGAGGTGATGCTGAGAAGGGCTTCCCCAAGAACCTCAAATCCTGGGCAAGTTCATATATAAAAATAATGTTCTCCATATATCTTGGTCCCAAGTAATACAGGATTTTATAGTCTAAATCCAACACTTTTATTGTGGCTGGATCTGTTATCACAAAGGAGTAGCCGGTGGATCTGTTGTCACAAAGGAGTTTTGTGCTTCCTTTAACCAGCCTAAGTTAACATCATCATGGGCCTGCTGAAGTTTCCAAACTCTTTTCAAAGGCAATCCTGTATAGAGGGTGTTACTGTAACCCAAGTGGGATGTAATAACGGAGACCAGATCAAACATGTCCGGTAATGGATACAGCGGGGGCAAGAGCTTTAATTGTCCAAATGTATTCCCAGCATTGCTAAAAATTTGACATTCATGTTTAGGTCTGAATCCAAAAACATGCCTAAACAGCAAACCTGAGTCTTCAAGGGAGGTTAATCCCACCTGGCACAGGATCAGTCCTTATGCTGAGATATTTTTTTTCAACTGACTGAAAGCATATTCTATCTCATCTGGGTTAAGGTTCATTTGTTTGCCCTCAAACACTCCTTTACTGACATCAGGCACTGACTTAGAAATAGAAGAGCTTCGTAAGATTTAAGTGAAAAGGAGAGAAAGAGTTGTATGTCACCAGTTTACTGTCTCTAAGGCTGCTTTATGTGTTTATCTGAGGAAACTATCAGGATATATACTGAAGATGTAGATTCTTGATTTCTGTGACATTTGTGCTTGTTAGTTAGTTGTCTTGGTTTAATAATAGCTGTTTTCCCATGCAGAGATTTAGCGTAGCTTGGCTGAGGACCACTTCCCTCAATCTAGTCCCCTCTAAATATTTTGGACCACAACTCTCAGCATTCTTAACCATTGAGCATGCTAGGTGGGTGGAAGCTGATGGTCAAAATATGTGGAAGTCAGTAGGTACAGGAGGTTGGTCTAAGGCACAATAGTGCCAGTGAAGCCTGTCTTTTGAAAATGAGAAGTACAACTACAGCACTAATTATTAACTTGCTTCAATCCATGAGACAGAGTCTGGGTTTGCTGGCATCTGGGAAAGGAAAACAACTGTTTGGATTTCTTGTCATTTTAAATTCCAGGAACACTAAAAAGCCATATGTGATCTGGTTGAGTAGCAGTCTGAATAGATGATCTCTTGGGCACATTTTGCCGTTGTGTAAGCTGGAGAGCTTCTGTATTTTGTAACCTATCTGGCCTAGTAGCTGCTTCATTTTGAACCCTGGTATTCACAGCTATTGCTCCAGCTGTTGATTCTTCTACATCATTCTTTGTTTACCCCAATTGGAGAGTTTTCTTTTGAGTTCTGCACGTACTTTTGGAGCACAAGTGTGGTAAACCCACTGGAATTTCCCCCCAGGTCCCTAGTGTCCATTTCTACTAATTGGGTCTGAAGAAGGTCTGGAAGCTATTGTGAGCTACTCCTTCGGCATGCTCTAGTCCTTACACAAGATGTTTACAGACCCTGTCAGATCCCTCCATAAGGGAATCTAATCTGCCTGCTGTTCTCCTTCTGAAGAACAGCACATCAAAGACATGGCAGCCTGTTTGATGTGTCTGCTTGCCTCAGAGAATGCACGTAATGGATTAGCAGCAGCTGAAGGAGGGGCCTGTTGGCTCCGAACCATTGCATACAATCTCATCTCTTGGCGGTCTCTCTGAGTGTCATCTTTTGTAGAGGCTTGATCAGGGTGACAAAGTCTTGGATAATAATGGCTAGAATATCAAATTTACAGTGGTGTCTCCTTTTTTTCTCTCTTCTAGCCTCTGTGTTAAGAGCCAAGCATCCTTACAGGTATCTTAAACATGTAGCCGTGACTTACTACAAACAGGCGTCTGCAATCCTTTATTGTGAGTTTGAGGAAGTGCCCACCTTGGCTTGAGTCTTCTCCAGATAGTAGAAAGGTTCTGGTAGTGGAAATCGTACATGTGGCAGCAGAGTCAACAGAAAGCAGGGCTAGAACAATTTGAAAGAGGAGGACCTCTGTTTAGGCATGCCTCTTTTGCACACTGAATGTGGAAGAAATAGAACAGGTCACATCAACTCATAGACGTGTGCTTGAAGCCTGTTTGATAGAGCTGGTGACTGAAAGCAAGGTTAGTTTGCTGGCTTACCAGACATCTCTCTGTTAACCTGTGGAACAATATGCAATTGTACATACAACCCTCAGGGATCCACTAGGATCACATTATTTAAAGTATTCTGAAAAAGTAGAAGTTTATTCACCTTTCCAACTTGATTTTCAGATAGGAGCATGTTCAACTGTTTCAGCACATATCACAAAACAAACAAAAAGCAAAGTCTTGAAGCATTTCTAAGGCAAACATTTATTATAATATGAGCTTTTGTGTTTATGAACACTCTTTGGAAGGAGTGGTTGTAATTTCTAAGTGCTCGTGCTGAATCTGTTAGCCTTAAAAGTGCTGCAACACTTTTTTTCTATACACTTCTTGACATGCGTTTCAACTTCATTATAACACTGATTATTATACCTGTGTCATATTCTGAGATAATAGTTTTTTGTTTTGTTTTTTGGGGTGTTGGGAGTGAGACTTCTTAAGAGGCAGTCCTGCTAAGCTTACCTTTGGACATCTGACTTACTTTCAGGTTTGAGTCCTAATTGTTTATTTTGCAATGCTGGTGATTTAGTGTTGAAAAACTTTGACTGTTTTCTTGTATTGAACAAGTATTTTTGTTACTAGATCCTCAGGCAGCTGATTCATTTTAGGAAAGAAATAACATTCAATCTTCCCTAGATGTAACTCAGTATTAAAAAGCAATAATAGTTAAGTGTGAGATAAAAGTGTTCACTAGATCTTAATTACATTTGCATTTTTCCCCATGAAATTTAGCAAAAACGTTTACTGATATTAAGTACATCTTTTATACCTACTTTCTCTACTTGTAATAGACTATAACTTGAAATGTTAGCCATGGTAATATGGATGTTGGGATGTTGGGTTGTCAACTAACCAGAGATTCCCCTGTTCCTGATTTTGACTTGCTTTTAATATCCACTTGATTCAGAAATCAGCAAGTAATATTTTTTGTGACAAAAAAGTAAATATTATCAGATGCTTAATATCTTTATATTAAACTGCTGCTAGAGACAAGGCTAGAGGAAAAACAGATAATCCTAAAAAGGGGGGGGATCTATGCTCAAATGCTGGTAAGGCATATGTCTATTTTCTTGTAAAGCAGTAAGCTTTTCTACCATAGTGATTTTCACATTGGTGAAAATCTCTTGCAGGTTTTTAAAATCTCTCTAATAGCTAGCTGTGGCATTTTATTTAAGAAGTGTTGCGTCCTGCACTTTCACTCATCATTATGTCCAGAACAATATGCAATATAAAACACACACACATGCACATATATCAATAATATATATTAAATATAATATATATAAAAGAGTAAATAATATATAACAGTAAAAACTAAAAATGTACATATATACTTTTTAAAAAACTCAATTGTAACATATTATGATCAGAAATAAATTGCACTATCCACCCAGACCCAATGCTTGATTGATTAGTCTAAAGGTAATGAAGCTATCAGATGCACTAAATGCATTATTGCGTGAGTCCTACAACATCCTTCCTTATCCTCTTCTCTGTCCATCTGCTGCTTTCCTGGTCTTCACCATCTATTTTCCTCTCGTTTTCTGCTCTGAAATACAAAGTACAAACAGAACATTTGGCTATAATTTAAATTAGTACGCTGGTTTTGACAACATTTCCATAATTACTTTTCAGATTGCTTTGAAGCTGCAAAGAAGCACACAGATTATGTAACTAGACTGCCATTACTGCATACTTTGGATTTGATCAGCAGCATGCTTATCAGACCGCTGTACTGCAGCTAAAAGCTAAGAGTCCTATATTCATTTTATTCTTGGTTTTACATTGAAATAAGAGTAAGACCATTACCATAGTAATTATATTCACTTTGATGTGTCCAGTTTTTGGAGAGGTGATGTTGTTACATTGGAAAGCCTGAGCTCTTTTGGTCCACTTTAAGCAAAGAGGTCCTTGGCTTGCTTAAACGGAGTCATGTGGCTTTTAGGATATGGGCTGGTGAATATTCTTCTGCGTACTAAGCCAGGTTGCTTCAGGCTTGTGTATTCCAATCATAGTTTTATCCTAAAAATGTTTCCCTGATGATGTATAGTATCTAGTGCCTTTTTAATTTTTAAGCAAAATACAAGGGGAAAATGGTGACTTAACTCTGAGTAGTAACACTGATGTAGACTGCACTTGGAATATCTACTTCGGTGTGATATTTGGATTGGGCTAGACTTGAGAAATCTTACAGAAATGTATGTGAAGAGGAAGAGACATAAAGGATTTGAATTGTGGAGTTTAATCTTTTCAGTTGGTCTCAGGCCAGTACTGTACAGTACAGAGCATGCTAGCTTTTCCCTTCTCTTGCAGGGAATATGTGGAGCAGCACAGTGAAATCTCCCCCATCTGTATTTACATGCGAGATGAGGTAAGTCAACAAACCTCCTTCTCATCTACCCTCCCTTCATCTGCCACTGAAAATAACAAGATATGCCCTCAATGGCTTTCCAGCCTGGAAAATGTGTTTCTTTTCTGGGCTCACTGAAGAAGGGAAATGGAAGAGCTTTGGTCTCTTCAAAGCTTGATGTGTTTGTGTGTTGGGGGAAAAAACCTCTCTGCTGGAACATAATCATGGGTCGCTCAGCTCAGCCTCTGAGTCCATAAAACATTCTCAATGACCTGTTTGTGTGTTTTTTCAAGTTCTTTTAAAGCTCAAGAGTCACAACAGTGGTTTCATTTTAATAAATATTTGCTTTTTCCATGTTTTGATCTTTGCAGCGTTTATGTTTTTGTTTAATATTTTTTAATGTCAGCATTTTAGAGTTAGCTCCCCTTCTTCCACAAATAAATGCCAACATTCTCCTGTATTTCATGTCGGGTGCTGTATAGAGCACCTGTCATGCCATGGTTGGGGGTACATGTGGCCCTTGAAACGTTGGTGGACTCCAGTTCCTTGCAGAACTAGCCAGCATAGACAGAGATGAGGAAAGAAGGGTGTTGTGGTCCACCCATGTTAGAGGGCTGCTCATACCCTGGCCCTCCTTTATTAGACAAGCTAGTCCTGATCCTACCATCTTACAAGTGGAGCGCTGGATTGCAATGTTGAGGCTTGCAAGACAGAGGGGAAGAAGGACCTTTTCATTCTGTGTTTATTTCTGGAATGGAAGATAATCCTCCATAATAAAGCACAGTTATTCATGTTTTCATTTTCATTTCAACATATGAATAACTTGAACATGTAATGTTGCTTAAGGAGCCTCGTGGCGCAGTGGTTAAACCGCTGTACTGCAGCTAAAACTCTGCTCACAACCTGGGGTTCAAATCCCAGGTAGCCGGCTCAAGGTTGACTCAGCCTTCTATCCTTCCGAGGTCGGTAAAATGAGTACCCAGCTCGCTGGGGCAGGGGGGCAATGTGTAGCCTGCATAATTAAATTGTAAACCGCCCAGAGAGTGCTTGAAGCGCTATGGGGCGGTATATAAGCAGCACGCTTTGCTTTAAGTTGGAACCAAAGTTTTTCTAGTCCAGTAGTGGAGTGGTATTCAAGCAGTTGAGGAGAGTTCTTTCTTTGTCCTGCTACCTGAGATTCTTTGTAACTGGAGCTGGCATAAATGGAACCTTGGATCTTCTTAATGCACACAAATGACACCCAGAGCTATTGACCTTCAGTGATTTAATGGACATGGTGTTCCAAAGACAACAGGGCTTCTTGCAAATACAGTAAAAAGAGCACATGGAATAGCTTCTTTATTAATGTAACTTTTGAGAGATGAGTTTCTTCAGAACTGATAAACCAAGTATCTGCTTCCATATCTGTTGCAGGTGACAGGGAAGACTGCTTTGGAGAAGACAAGTCTGAAATCGCTTGGGTTGACTGGAGGCAATGCTATCATAAGGTCAGAAGTGAAGAAAATGATTTTCCTCATTAGTATTGGTTCCAGCATAAAGGAAACTTTAAGGACATACCCAGAGAAGCTAATTGTTATATTTATTTATTTTTTATCAGTGGCTATTGAGGTATGCCTGTTGTAGTTGCAGCTAGTGATACTAAACGCATGACTTTCCTAGAAAGTATTTGTGCATAATGGGCTATCTGTTTCCCTTAAAGGAGGAACACAGGGATAACATGCACAGTAACCTTTAATGGCACTTTCTTCATATCAGGCAGATGAGAAGACATCCATGCTTTGCAGTGTTTCTGGTTGTCTGGGAAAGGCTCTTTGACGAGCCCTAAACTTTGTATGCTCCTTTCTAGACATTGAGAACAGAAGAATTGGCCTTGCTTCAAGGTTGTCTCTGTGGCAGCACCCCTGTTTCAGGACATAATTCCCCAGGAAATGTGTTCTTAAAGGCTTTCATGGCCAAGGTTCGATGGTGGTTGTGGGTTTTCCGGGCTGTTCGGCCATGTTCTGGAGGTTTTTCTTCCTAACATTTCGCCAGTCTCTGTGGCTGGCTTCTTCAGAGAACAGGAGCTAGAACTCTGTGCTCTTGTGTAGTTGTGGGAATCCCATACAATATACCAGAACACAGAGAGTTTAAGGTCCTGTCGTCTGAAGATGCCGGCCACAGAGACTGGTGAAACGTTAGGAAGAAAAACCTCCAGAACATGGACAAACAGTCTGAAAAACCCACAACAACCATCCCCATGAATTCTTCATGGTTCCTTCACTTCTTTTATTTTGCCAGCTTGGAAAGAAACCTTGTTTTTTCCATTTTGCTGATGTACTTTTTAACTTGAGATTTGCATTTGGTCTTTAGATTTTGGCATGCTTTTAAGCTTGTTTCTATTTTAGTTATTTATCATTAATGATTTGGGGATGCTCGATTTTATGTGTTCTGTTTTTTTCCAGGTATTTATTTTTCTAAAAGAGAACATGGCAAATGTGTATCTCAAGTAAATAAACAAAATCTCAGCACCCCCTCCCAAGTCTGATTACGTGTTCCAGTGTTTTGTCATTCCAGTTACCTTATTCACACACCCCTTACTCTGGGACACTTTTCCATTAACCATTAGTCACATGTTGATGTTTCTTTTCTTGTGGTCCCCCTAAGAGCCACTTCACTCATTCCAGGAAAAGTCTGATTGCTCCTTCCCTACGGTGTATTGACCACATATTTTCTGTAGTGTCTGAGGAGTGTTTTTTCCTCTCTCTGTGTATACGAGCTTCTGTCTCCTGACCTACTTTTGTTGACTGTAATTTGCTGTTGAAATATGTATTTTCTTGTTAATAATTTTATGTGTTGCATTTTGCATTTTCATTACAGCTTGTTGCTAATACAGGAATAGAACTGAATGGGTCATTTTCTCCCCTTCAGCTATAGTGGAAGTATATCTGATTCCCCCCCCCCCACGTCATGCAACTGCAGTGTGGAACATGTTAGCCAACTTCTCTTTGCCCCAAAGTTATAGCCATTAGATCAAAACACCTGCTTTAGGGTGGCATTTATTTTAGGCATTGCCTTGGTGGAGCATGACTTGTCTAGAAGTTGTTGTTTGTTCCTCTCTTGAGGAAATGGCTGGGCAGATTTATTTAACTGGCTCTGATTGTGAGTAAGGAAAACAAGTAAACATTTTGAGTGTCAATAACTGCTCCACTTCTTCCTCTTGTGTCTTTTTTCTAGGTTAGTCACCAAGAAGGCAAACACGTCCTCTGATCCTGCACAAATTGAGAGTAATGAATCTATTTCTAAAGAACTCATAGCAAGGCCACCTTCTACAGAAGACCCAAAAAGTACTTCTGTATCACATGCAGTTGCCTTCCCAACAAGTTCAATTTCCAGCAATGAGCCTGAATTTGCCAACAAATGTGGTGATAAGAAGAACTGGAGTAAAGAATTTCAGGATGACTCAGATGAACATCATCCTCCCTCCGAGTCTGTGCCTTCCTCATTTGTCCCTTTTGAAGGTAGTGGACAGCGCCTGGGTGGCGGCGGCTCACCTATTACAGTGGTATCTCCTGTGTCAGATGTGCCAGTGTCAAATCTTCCAGCATCTCTGTCCAGTCCTTCAGGGCCTTCCAAGCCAAAGAAATCAAAGAACAGCCAAGAAAAATTAAAGGAACAAAAAGAGGTAGTGGTTTAGCTTGCTTATAGTGTACTGAGTTAGAATAATTTTCTCTCTGTACTGCTTTAGTACTGGTTTTTGAAGAGATGGAATTTCCACTGTCATAATCCAAGGGTAAACCTCTGTGTGAAGTCTCTGATGTTGATGAAAGTAAGGTAGTTCGGGCAAAGTTTTGATCTTTGCTCTGCTTGATGTTTGATGTGTTTAGCAAGATAATGGAGAAAGTGGGAGCTTATGCTTCTTTTTTAAGTGCATTTACAAACCTTTCGTAGTTGGGATGGTTATATGATAATGATGGAATGAACACCCTTAGGCTGAAAAGTGGAACACAGAGATTTCTAGACTTCACTGGACACCGTAAATACAGCAGTTGAGCTCAGCACTAAGAACCTCATTGCATGTTGCTGCTTAACTGCTCGTAAACTGGAGCAGAGTTTGATTTATCAGAGGTTCCTCTAGTGTTGGCTCCCTGTTCTCAGCATAACCTCCATTATGTCTGTAACTTATTGGGGAAATTTGATAAAAAGGGGGTTTCTAGGAATTTGGTTATTCCTTTTAGTTAGTAGAATACAAGGCAGACGAAAGAACAGCACAGAAACATGGAGTGATTCGCCAAGTATCATCAAACAACACCCTCTCTGGTTTGTGCACAGACTAGCACTTTGTATGGTAAAAATCACTACAGAAGCATTTAAAGTAGAAAAGGGTATCTTTATTTACAGTAACTATCTGTAGTTACGGTCTGAAGAAAAAAAGTAGAAAATGGAGCTCCCAGCATGCAGACTTGCTGCTTGGAGGATGGTCAGAGAGAGAAGACAGGCTGTTAATAAAACAATGGCAGCCAAAACAAACAAGAAGAGGTGGTGTGGGCTTTGCTCAGATGCTAGAGGTGGGAAAAGAACTTTATCAAGCAAGTTAGTGGTAAAGAGCATACTAGGCTGTAAAACCCCTTTCCCTGTGATACTCAGGGTTAGGGCAAGATTGCTATTATTCCAACGTAACTTCCTTTATCAGGAACTCAGTTGTTGCAAAACTTTCCCAACAGGAAACAGTATAAAGAGGGGGAGATATGGCAATGAAACTTTAATGTGACTGTTATTCAGAAATGGATATTGAGTTGCAGGGACCAGTTTTATCTCTTGGGGTAAGCACTATTATTAATAGATAAATTTGCTAAATTTACCCTTGAAAATCTTATGTGGAGTTTCCGAGGTTTTTATTATCTTATATTGATGAGCCAAATAAGAAAGAGGAGTTTACAAAAAGGCCAGCAATAGGAGTAGTAAAAGCTGATATATCTACAGTGGAGCCTCTACTTAAGGAATTAATCCGTATTGGAACGGTAGCTGCAAGTCGAAAAGCCTGTAGGTCGAATCTCCATTGACCTACAATGCATTGAAAACTGATTAATCCCATAACTGGCAGTTTTTATTCTATTTTTGTTTCATTTTGGTTTTTTTTTCTGGTCTGTAGGTCGATTCTCTGGCTGCAAGTCGAATCTAAATTTTGTGGCCAGAGAAGTCTGTAACTCGAAAAGTCTGTAAGTCGAGCCGTCTGTAAGTCGAGGGTCCACTGTATCAGAATAGTTGAGTCTAATGTATTAGAACATTCCCTACCCCAAATCTAACCACATCTCACTGTTGTGTGTAAGAATGTAATTAGACTTTAGTCTATCATCATCATCATGTGCTGTCAACTCAGTTCTGACATATGGTGACCCTTTTCAGGGTTTTGAAGGTAGAGAGTGCTCAGAAGTGGTTTCCCATTCCCTTCTTCTGGGAGCGCCTTGGGACTGTAAAGCTTGTCCAAGGCCACACAGGCTGGCTTTTCTCTCTGAAGGCACAGTGGGGAATCGAACTCCCAACTTCTGGCTCTGTAGCCAGATACCTAAACCACTGAGCTATCCAGCCAGCTATAATGTCTGAGTCAGATAAATGTTTTTCTAGCCAAGTGATGCATATTGATGCAGAATTGTGCTACCTAGGATTCAACATTTCTCTATTCCACTTTCTTTAATTTCTTAAAGATGCTATCCGGCTAGGTGTAATGTAAATTAATTTCACATGCTGTCCTACCTGATTTATATTTGGGACTGAGAAAATTCCTTTTTATTCTGAAGTATATGGTTGTTGGCTGACTGACATTCATTTTGTTTGGCTCTAATATTGGACTGAGGCCAGCGCTAACTCTTCCTATATTGCTTTGCCTGTAGCTATAGAAACATGTTCCTTTAACCTTGACAAAGTTCCATACTGTATGTTGCTGGAACTAGCAACCACTTAAGAGATGTCCCTGGAACACTCCTTCCCAGAGCTGGGAAAGGGCTGCCTTGGGAGCAGCTGCAGGTTCTGCTGGGCGTTTTCCCTCATGTTACACAGTGTGCAACTTCGACTGCTTCTTTCAGGCGCTTTGATCTTGGGTGCCTTTGCCACTGATTGATTACGTTTCACTCCATTCTCCATTCCTTCCATTCTCTTGCCTTGCGCTCATCAGCAGCTCCAGAATGAGGCTGGCCACATGGCATCTGCTTTTTGTCCCTTTTCAGGCCAGAGGGGAAAAAGAAGGGAAAAAAAGCAAAACAAAACAAATTATTTTTAAACATCAAAGCTTTGTTTTAGCAAAAGAATCTTCCCATTAATGTTTGTGCCTGTGTGTGGTTTTTTTGGGTTTCATGGAAGAGGCTGGATAAAATCTGTGCCGGCGTCCCTCAACATTTGGGCTGGGGGTGGTTTACAGACAGGCCATACTTTGACTTTGATGTCAAAACATTAATTATTAGTAGGTATCTTTACTCCATATTCGCCTAGAGATCAGAGAATTATGCAGTGAGGGAGAAGAGCTAGTTCTTCCCAGCACCTTATTTTAAAATCACACCATATTTTTGATTGCAGACCATGAAGATACAGTACGTAAGAGTGTAGTACATAGCTTTCAGTGGAATAGTTACATATGTAACCTACAGTATAATCATCTTGTTGATGAAAGATTTCTCAAAGATGTAGTTTGGAAATCCAAACTGAAGAGGTTGAAGAGGACTATTCCTTTATGTTTATCTTTCCTTTAAGTGCCTTGGTTCTCATTGTGGAAGAATCATCTGATATGAAATCACTGCCACTTATGTAGCCTGTCACACAAAATTCACATATGCATCATAGCTGGCTCTTGTCATCCTTTGTGAAGCACCTCCAGAGACTGGCGATGAAACTGATGAGAGCCCATCAGCCCCACTGTTGCAGTTCCACATCCAAAGAGCCAAGAGCTAACAGGCTAAATGACATTCCATTGGGGGGTCTGCTGGAAAAGCTAGGAATGTTAGAGGTCCTGTTCCCTTTGTCTCCATTTTTGGCAGCTGTCCCTAGCCACACTATTAGTTGCCAGTGTCCTGGGTTTATTTAATAGTTTGTAGAAAGGAATGTATTGCATTGTTTCTGTTCTCAAGTAAATTACTTGTTTCTGAACATATCCCTTCTGGGATTTGCTTCAGTTGCTGGCAAGCACTCCTGTGAAGATGAGAACTGAATGCTGACAGATCTGCATTTGGAAGTATGTCATACCAAACCGGTTGCAAAAATGGCTGGGAAATACCTGAAGATTCCAACATAATTTTCTGCCACTAATGGAAAACTCAGTACTGTTCTGTTGCTTCTGAAGTGAAGGTATAGCACACAAAAACTACTAAATAGGCAACAAGAGAATCTGACATGTGGTAAGCTCAGACCAGTGTGAAACCTGCTGGTGAAGTTGCCATCTTCCTTCCTTCCTTAGGCCTTCCCTGAGGAACCCCTATATAAGAATGATTCGAGTTAAGAATGGCTCCAGGCCTTACCTGAGGAACCCCTACATAAGAATGATTCGAGTTAAGAATGGCTCCATTTGCAAAAAGTTGCTTCGTCTTGAAAACGGAGCCTCGACTTAAGAACAAAACAAACAAACAAAAAAACAAAAAAAAAACCCTTTTCCTGCCCTTTTTTTTTTTAACCTAAGTTCACCTTAGGTCAAAAGAAGAAGAAAAAATTCACCCCCTAGTGGTAGATACGGATTAATCGGCTTTGTATTAGTTCCTATGGCAACTAATGCTTCGACTTAAGAACAGCGCCTCGATTTAAGAATGAAAAACAGCAGATGCGGATTAAATGGTTTTCAATGCATTCCTATGGGAAATTGTGCTTCGACTTAAGAACGTTTCAACTTAAGAACGGATTAAGTTCTTAAGTCGAGGTACCACTAGCAGCAATTCACTGCTGCGATTTACAGTTATACTTTCTGTGCTTTTAGTCTCAGGTAGGATTCTGGCCATTGATTTAAGTACTTTAAAGTATCTCTTCCTTTGTGTTGAACTTGCTCCTTTTTATGTAACCCTGCTATAAACACCATGATTCTAGGTATTGTTAGAATAACTAGAGTTTCTGAGCAGATGTTAGTTTATAGTTCTTGATTCTGGGTTCTTCCTTCTGAATTCTATTCTTTCAGGAAAGACAGGATGCTTACCTATAAATGTGTTTGTTCTTTGTCATTTCTGTGATTTATACCTATGGGTTTTCTGCACAATTTCATTACAGAACTTTCTGCACCTGCACAATTTCATTACAGAACTTTCTAAGCCCCGCATTGAATTTTGGTGGGTGCTTTACCCATTCCACTAGGAATGTCTGAACCCTCCTCTGCATTTTCCTCACTTCTTCGTTTTCCTCATGCTGGAGCTGCCATTGAAGATCTTCCATTTGACGAATAAGGATTCTGCAATGAAAAAACGGACAAGATCTTAGACTATGAGGGCAAGCTCAGAACTGGAGCTGGATGTCTGGGACATTCGTGTGCTTGCCCTCTTGAAGCCCCATTTCAAAAATGGGCAAACTCATCCATTCAATTTGCAAAGGTTTTCCTCTACAAATCAGGATGTCAGTCATCCTTACGCTCTCATTGGCTTGCTCACCCTTCAAACACTCAGGGGCGTTTTTAGCAGACATTGATTGGAAAAGAAATCTTCCATGTCTTCAAAGTTATGT